GGTTCTTTAAAGAAAAGGTTTGCTGAACCCCGTTTACGTTTCTCACTCTCTGGGGCAGCTGGAGAGTGGGTGCAGGGGGGCTCCATGTGCACCGTTCTGGGGCCAGCAGCCACTGGGACATGCTCTTCTCACGGCAGATGGAGAGAGAACAAGCAGAAGCAGGCGACACCTCTGAAAGCCTGGGCCGGGGCCAGGCTCACGGTCGCTTCCTCCCGCTTCCCACGTACTGTGCTCATTCTAAGAGGAGGGACTACAAGGTCACACGCCCAAGGGCAACGATTTCTACCTCTCACACGGGCAGTGAGTCGAGAATGGCAAGCAGAGATCTCATCGACCACAGTCGGGCACCCAGAATTTGCAGTCGGGGCTCTCTGTGCGCTTGTCCCTTCGCCACCCTGACTTTCGTCCTGGGCAAATGATCGTAGGTGCAATGAAGACAAAAGAATGGGAAACCATGGGCGGGGGAGGGGAATGCAGGAAGATTTTCCCATCATCCTCTGCCTACAAAGGCGAGCCCCGAGCACACCGGGCGCCATCCAGCTCATCGCCATCTCTAGTAACCGAAACCCCCGGCAAACTGCAAACAACATCACAATGCCTTCTGAAGACCCCGGGGAAGCTTCAGCAAGTGTTTATAAGAGCGCCATTCATCAGGAAGGCCATTGTCCGTAGCTGAATGAATACGGGCTGGATGTTGAAAACTTCCCAAGACCATCATTTCAATTACCCAGCAGGCATTCTCCGAGCGCGGGCTTCTTTCGGGGTCAGAATGTAAATAAGTCGTGCGTGCGTGTCTGGAAGCCCTTACAAATGCGAAGAAAGAGATGAGAGAAGAAAACTTCCCAATCCCCCTCCTCCTGTTTTTCGCGAAGGCGCAGACCCTCTGCAGGCGAAGCGGGAAGCCTCACGGTGTTTGTCTGCGGAGCGGCAAGGCGGGGAGCCGCCCGGGAGCCGATGATGAATAAATAAATGCCCGGCCATGACCGCAGTCCCACGGGCCTCCCGCCGGCCCCAGTCGATGCTCCATGTCATCATGGAATCGGACACTCGCCAGGAAGTCCACGGGAGGGAGAAAGAATTTATAAAACATGTACGCGCTCCTCGCTCTGCAGCTGCTGCTTTGAAAGGAAGATGCGAGAAGAAAAGAAACGTAGCGAATAATACAGTGGTGCTGACGGGCTGCAGAACGCGGCGAGATGGGGAGATTTGGGGTTTTTTTTGAGCTCTGCCGAAAATCAAAAGAGCTGCGGAACAGTGGCCACGGAGGGGCTTTGAATAACCACATGTCGGAAATATTGATGTCTTCTGGGTTCCAACCCCTACGATTCTTGTCTCTGTGAATGATGTTCCAGATAAAACCAAATTCCTCTGGGCGACTGACTGTCTTTACTTACATATGCAGAGGAATAAAGACTGCTGTTTTTATTTGAGAACTCGTTCGTACCGGGCACATAATGTTTCCGTGTAGCCTCACCTATGAGATGAGCGTTAACTCTGCCCACCCTGCACGGAAAGGGTCGGTGACCTGCCTACAGCAGCCCAGCTCATCGGTCAGTAACTAGCTTACCAAGTCACCTCCCTGAGAGCTGGTATTTCTGGTACAGACTCCCAGAACCAGGCAACCCCTGGGGAGGGCGGCACCCCTCAGTCCACTGAGGGTACACTAAGCTCTCTCTGCCCATCTCCAAGCTTGGACAGTTCCTCCCGACAGGGGACTGTCTCCCTCCATTCGCACCTGCAGGACCGTCTGGAACCCCTCGATCTACCACACTAGAATGACCCGGCGGGGAGGGGGGTGCTTCTAAACATCCTGATCCCAGGCCAAACCCCAGGCCCTTAAAATCAGGATTTCTGTGGGTGGTGCGTGGCATCAGGCTCTTTAAAACTCCAGATGATTCAAATGAGAACCGAGGCTCTGAGGACATTCCAGCAGGAGCTATCAGCTGCTGCCCACCCTCCCAACTCGGTTCCCTGCCCCCTCTTTGGGCCTCAGGGGGCTGCCCCTCTCAGCTCCTGAAACTTCCCTGTTCTGCAGAAGGGGCTGAGAGGGGGCGGCCCAGGACACCTCCCCTTCCAAAGCCCCCTCCCTGAGGGGGGCAGTCCCAGGAGAGGGCATCTTTAGAAAGTGTTTTGTTCCAAGACAGAAAGAACCCACAACTTGAGAGCAGCAAAGGAGAAGAAATCTATCATCCTCAGGAAATTGGTTCCTGCTGCCCCGCAGAGTGACAGTGATCACAGAGGCCCTGCACATGCCGGCTAAATAAATAGGTTTAATAGTAATGTGCCAGCAGCTGCTGGGACACTCGTAAGCGGGCTCTGGGGTTGTTGTATTTGTGCTCCCACAAGGGCACAAATCCGGTCATGTGAGGGCTCCCAGACTCCCCTGCCTGGCTCCTTTACAGGAAGCGGAATAGAGCAGACCTGCCTTCAGCCTCCAGACACTTTTTACCCTGGGGAAGATCTGAAGTCAGCTAGCTGTCCAGGCCCAGTCCCACCCTGGGCAGCAGGCTGGGGAGATAGCCTGAGAGGACGGGGCTGGCCACGATGGGAACTGGCCAGCTTTCCTGGGGGCCAGAACCCTAAGCAAGCTGACCAGAAGGCTGAGGGGTTGCAATGGCTGGTTCGGATGACCTTGAGGACAACGTTGATTTCCTAAGACCATGGGGGCAATCAGGGCATTGAAGGAAGGTGACCAGCGTCTGTGGAGTAACCTTAGGTAAGTCTGAGCCTCTAAAAAGTTAAGCACAATAATACCTAGTTCCTGGGGTTATGCTGCAGGTTAAGTGACATGTGTACAGGAAAGCCACCAGCACAGAGCCGGGCCCCGGCCAGCACATTTGCCTCCCTCCCTCCCTGCACGCCAGGGAGAGTCAGGACATGGGCCTTGGCTAGCCACTGGGGCCCATGTGTGCACCTTCCATGGTGGCAGCCACAAGCCCCATGTGACTGACCACTGAGCACTTGACTAGGGCTGGTGCAAACAGGATTGTCCCTAGATGTAAAGCACACACTGGATCTCAAAGACTCGGTAAAAAAAAAAAAAGTGAAACCTCCCATTTATAATGTGTATATAGTTACATACTGAAATGATAATATTTTTGACATATTGAGTTAAATAAAATGTTTTTGAAATTCATGTCATCTGTTTCTTTTAACTCTTTTAATGTGGCTCCCAGGAAACCCAAAATCACACACATGGCTTGCATTATATCTCTATCAGACACTCTAGACAGGATCAAAGGGATGAAAGGGAGTCCGGCTGGAAGCCACGTGCAGGTTCCCACAGGGCAACGTGAGGGCTGGCGGCGTCCCGTGAGCTCATGGAGTTGAGGCCTTTTCTCAGCTGCAAAATGCAGCAACTAGCTTACCAAGTCACCTCGCTGAGAGCTGGCACTTGTGGGCTGGCAATTGTGGCGTGGCTTCTAGGTGCTTTACATATTAATCTTCACTTGAGACAGA